ACCATGGTTTGTCACCTGTTATCATTAACGTCCGCTCCCGTCTTTGAACTTATTCCATCAAAACCAAAATGCAACCAACTCCCACTTGCTTTCATAATATTTCCGACGTATAGTAAGGCATACTCCCCTTTATTTTTTTACTTGTTTTTTTTTTTTCAAATGGCCGTTTTCTTATCTGAATATCATTGATTGATTCCCTATGAGATAATTTGAACTGAATGCGGAACATCAAAGTCACCAAAGGATGAATCAACGCTTAATGCATGCATATCATTCTGCCATCTATTATTGCTGCACTGCTAATTAATACGAATTGATTCTAACCAATTTTACGCTAAACGAAACGATGCTACAATTAATAAACATCATATTCAAACAGCTGTGGCGTTCTTCTTTCTTTCATTCGATTTATCTTTGTAATAATTCTTCATAGCATCCATTCGAAGATCTGTCTGTGCAGTGATTATCTTTCCCAGTGAATTCCTGGCACCAAATATCCCGTTTCGTACAGCAACCGGATAAGCAGGAGGTGGAGGGCGTAAATTTGATGAGGATCCGGTAGTCTGAGTTATATTCCGCGGGGACATTATACTGTGTTCTGGACTATTGCGCTGCTGCAACGGTGAACGATGCTGGTAGTGATGAATATCAGATGACAAAAGAGGTTTGCTAAAAATAATCTTCAATAGAAACATTTCAATAAATTAAAAATTCCAGCATCAGATGAAGCCTTGAAAGGCAAAACAATCATGATGAATAAACTTCTCCAATATCTAGAGAATTTGAAAGAAAGGTACATTTTGCTGAAATAAAATATACCTCTTTTCCATACTGGCAGGACCAGAAACTGGGAAAGTAGTAGTGAATCGAGGAGTGCTCAGAGGTGAATGCCGGATAACTGGTTGACCAATGCATATTTCACGAACCATATCGTTGACTGCCAGTTGTGTTGATCGGAGCTGGTGATACCCCACGGAACCACAGGATAACTGCCTACAAAAAAACTTGATAGATTGCCACTGTAACTGAAAATTACACATAACATTTCAGTCGAGACCTTTCTCCTGTTGACATGGATTTTGAATGCTTGATAATATTTAGAGAGAAACTGTGTAACCCGACATTAAATTCTTACAATAACTACCACTTTTTTTTCAGATGTTTTTTTTCTTGGCATCTGAATTTCAAAAAAAAAATACCTTTCCTTCATAGCTCGCCTGTCTAAACTTGCTGTTGTAAAACCATCGTTATATGATCTCGAAGCTGGAAGTACTGCATAACGCAACGGTGTTTTTCCATCATTTGACAATAAACCAGCAATAGGTGGACTGTTACAACTACTGCTGCTTTGCTGATACGTCTCCAAGGAACTCATGAACTTCGATCCGAGGCATGATGAAGATGGGATCTCATCATTATTCTGCTGTTGCTGTATCATTATCTGCCGGCCCGCATCACTACTTCCTGCTCCTGCTTCTATACAAATATCTCGGCTGTTTTCCTGCAATTTAATTCTCATCCCTTTGTATCACTAAAAAAAATGTCCAAAAAAGCTTCAACAGAGTTTTATATTTTTTTGAAAAATATCAATGAAAAACCTGTCCGAAGTGGTATTTCCAAGAAGGCTGCTTCAAGGTGGTTCCATAATCAGCAATATTTCTTGAAGATCCAACAACGTAATTAATTCGAGATTCATAATTGTCGCTATTCTTTACTGTAACTGATTCTTGTTCTGGTAAATCATGATCCGAGAATGCACGCTGCACTCGATCTTTGCAATTAGTGTGGTCCTGCATACGATTATTGAAGTGCAGTCCAAAAAATGCAAATTAAATTTAAAAAAAAAAAAATTCTGAAAAACCATCAATGCATGGAATTTACAAATGCAAGGGTCATAGTGCATGGGTTATAGATGGAACTTTAAATTATTTATTACAGAAGAAGGAAACTACTAAAGCCTTGAAAAACTCTACTGATTAATGTCAAGATGTTATGAGTAACTTACATTCAGTGTAGGGAAATTCATTTCTCTGTAGGAACTTTTGTAAGAGACACACGACTTATAACCAACATTTTCATATCTGAAAGAATAAATTATTCCAGTTTAATGATATAGCTCCAATCTAACTATTAAAATTTCAGAACTGCACATTATGAAAACTGATTAAAACTGCATTCCAACACGAGCAAATTATCAATTTACAAAGAGTTCCTACGCTAATGATGCACCACGTAGCAGCCTTGTATGTTATGAGAAGTAAGATGTTCGCTTATACCACCAAACAGCAAGTGTCAAAAGTCATGGTATCTCATCAGCTTAGCTCCAAACTATTGGGAAAAACGACTACAGGAACAAAGGAACTAACGAGCATTGGTCCTTTAATTATTCACATTAATTTTTTAGGAATTCAATTATTTTTCCTTGTGCTTTACTTACACAGGTATATGATGATTCTCAACGTTATGATTTTTTAACTTCTCCCAAGATATTTGACGTTCAGGAAGAAAATAACAGGTATGATAAGGAAGTGGAGGTGGTACACGCTTTGAAGTTCTGGAATCAAAAGACGAGTCCCTAAATGACAAGCCACATTCGGTGACACTAGTAAGGGAAGTATTATTGTTATTGGTATGATGAGCGGAATGAGTGCTGGAGCAGGCTGACGTTGATGGATATCGTTGAACACACTCCCTAAATATATTATGTATTCAGTAAATGAAATTTCTGAATTCCAAGCTTCTAAATTTAAACTTCAGATCCTACGATTCCCCAATGAAACCTAAGCGTAGGCGCAAAACCAAATGAAAATTAAGAATTTTACGTGGACGCTCTCCTCTTTCCACCATCATCATCATCATCATCATCGGCTTCACTTCGTTCGTTTTCCGCGGAGGTAAGTAAATCCGGAAACGAGCCTCGTGGTGTAGCTGGGCAAGATTTCGTGATTAATGAGTTTGAATCATTTTGAGTACCTAATAATGTCGATTCCATCTGATAATCTGAACAATTTCTCCGAGGTCCTGGAAATACTAACCTTATAAAAACAGATGGTTAAAATAATTATGTGTTGATATAAATGATAATTATATGACTATGAGCAGTGTGATGAGTAAAATTAAGTGTAAGGAAAATTAACCTTTATTTCCAGAAACATTACGAATAGCAGTGCTGACATCCGGTTTGCTAGCCGAAAGTCGGAGCTGTGTAAGACCAAATTCGAGTCCTCGTAATTTTTGAGTCGCTGCTATCAAATCTTTTTGGCGCTTTTTCCTCACCGACTTATTGGTTGTTTTGTCCTTAGCTAGACGTTCTGCTGCAGCAACAATTTTCCTGTGTAACTCGACATCCGCTTCCAACATAGAAATCCTATCATTCTAAAGCTAACACCATGAAAATTTACATGGAAGTTGTTTTCAAACATCGAATATTTTTTAAAAGGATGAAAGGTACTATGTTGATTCCAATATTCCAATGAAATTTGAAAAATAAGATATAATATATATAGAAAACTAACACTATCTACGGGTCTCTTAAAAACTTCGCTGAGCGAGAAAGCTGTTCCAACACGTCGCTTCACTTTTGGCTCCTCTTCTCCTGGCATCAGCGTCTTGTAAATCTCTTTTGGTAATTCACCCGTGATTTCCTATAGACAATGATAATTGCAAAGGTACGGCAATGAAAAAATTCACTGCATGCAGTTTAACTTGCTGGATTTCAAATATTTACCGCTTCTTTGATGCACACTTCCCGTAATTCATCAAGTTTTGCTAGAAGTTTTTCTTCGAGTTCGTTTTTTCTTTTCTTTAGCTCTTTGTACAATTCGACTTCTTTTTGCTTTTCTTCTTGAGTCTTTTCTATAAATAATAATTGAAATGAATTATAAAAACACAGACAGAAAAATGAAAGTTCTCACAGCAGAATACCTCGACTTTGGACACCGTTCAACGATGACAGTGAAACAAAGGAACCATCGGATACTTTTGCTGATGGCATACCATTGGACGACAGCGAACTGCAAGTAAATGATGTTTTAATAATAACATTTCTGATACGATAAAGAACTATTATTAGTCATGAAACTTCGAAAAATTACCTTCAAGTCAAAAATAAAAAATAGATTTCAGGCTTATAAATGAAAACACCACGAAATCTTACTGTGCAAAACAAATGTAAGTTAAAACAACAAGTAAACAACTCGCGAATAAAAAATCAAATCGGTCAGAAATTATTACTCCGCATAAGCAGTAACGGAATTAACTAAATTCCGCTAATGATTTGGCTGTGGAAAAACCGACAAATCCCTTCGAACTCCAAGCAATTCCATTCTGTCATAGCATTTTCCAACACACTGGCACACATATACATAAATATAAGAAAAAGTTGCAGCTGGTTGGGGACTGGTCCACTGGGCGCTAAATTAAACTGTAATGCCAGTTTTAATTGAGCTCTATTATTTTAAGGTCTGAGAGAATTTCACCTGTCAACAAGCCAACCATTGGTAAGCTTTGGAATTTCATTTGAAATAAACATGTTGATAGCATATTCACAAAGGAAAAAAAATGAAGGATTATCATTAAACTTTTGCTAAGAATTCTTAAAGGACTAAAAGAAGCTAATTTTCAGAAAATCATGGAAAAATCAATTATTAGCTGCGATTAATTAGATGGTGTAACAAAAGCGTTGGGGGACGTTTCGAGTGATGGACAACTTCTGATCTTGCGTATTCATTTAAACCATTGGCTCTAAATACTCTCGCCCTCGTCAAACGAGCTACTTCCACTGAAGTTCCAATGCCGGACCTGGATTCTTCATGAAATGGCTTTACAGCTGGTTTAATTCGTCATAAATTCCTTCATCTCCGAAGTTTGTGATGCATGAGACGAATTTCTAGAACTGAGAAGAATGTATGAATAGTTCTATTTTGAAGATGGCACAAGACTATCGTTACGGATGCTCCAAATTCGCACACGTAGATCCAAATATTCGTTGTTGATTCGGAAATCTGTCAAAAGTTGGGAAAGGAAAGCAATCAAGGAATGAAAAAATTGTACTAGTCTGAGGCACGGTGTCTAAGACTCACCGAAGTAATTATATATTTGTGAGAATACCGTGTGTCATTTATTAGTATTATGGAATAAGCTTACTTCAAAGAGGGCAGCGATGATGTAACAGAAGAATGACTTATTAGACGACAAAGTTTCTCGCTCAGTTGCTTTAATTCAACTCCTGGATCATTCGATACAGTTCTCTGAAAGTAGTGCACATTTATCCATTCAACCGGGTTACACACTCAAATTATGCCATCGATCTTTAAACGTCGCAGCATAACTGTCCCACCCTCTCTTTTCCTTTCTTTCAGTTGTCACTGACCGATAAACGATCCAAAAAATAAATATTTCTAATATTTCCGCGGTTGTGCTTTTCTGTCAAGAAATATCTCAGCTTTTGGTATACAACATAGTTTAAGTAAAAGAAAGCTGGCTCTATCGGAACTTTTTTTTGATAAATAAACTGATTAACTGATTTGAAACAACACTGAAAAGGTTAAATGTTATGATACTACTATTTTCGGCAACCGATAATCATTAACGAAGCAATTCCTTTATCCTCTCTCGCTTCTCCTTTTCCTTTTATTCTGATACGGACTGATCACAAATAACTGTAAACTAATTAATGCTAATTCATTTCCAACATGAAGGATGACAATTGAAAAGATAGCTGAAGTACAAGTAACAAACGGGCAAATTCGGTAGTGAAGAAAATGTGGAACCATGAGGACACACCTTTGTCTTCCCGTTCTCCTTTCCCCTTCTCACCCTGACAAAGATTACTGACGACTAAGCGACCTCGTCTGGTACCGAAATAAATTCACAGTATAGTTCTCCGTGTATAAATCAAAGAAAATGAAAGAGACATATACAATTGCTCCCTTTTAGCGACACAATTCCATTCCTTTCACTGTTCGAGCCTCCACGAAGACAAATTTGATGAGAAGATTACCGACTTCTTTATAGGAATAGAATAGGAAAAAGAGACCTACTCAGCATCAGCATAGCTAGAACGTCAAAAACGGAGAAGAAACCGAGACAGATAGTGCGGATGGAGATCTACTGGTCAACAACTACTTACACATCCAACAGAGCAAGCCGATTTCACCTCATACATTAACATTTCAATCTTCTTTATGCAATGGAATGAACAGAAGATGATGCATCACGTCCTGCCACTAACGGTGGACTCACTGCCTTATTCATTCCCGGT